GTGAATTGAAGTATTTGGTAACACCTGTCTTCGCCTTGATAGATATCTCTAAGTTTTAACATCAGTTCATAGATTTGGGACTCGATTTCCCAAATCCGAATACATAAGATTGACATTATCCCAAAGCTCCTTAGTTGTGTGATAACACATATAGTTGGAGCTAATATCTTCCTTTAGGGAGTTTACCAACCATGTCATTACCATAGAGTTTTCGACATCCCATGTGGGTATGTCCGATCATCAAAGGTAGGTTATTTCTTATCTCTAGTAATGTTGTCAATTTTCCCTTTACCTCGAATATACATGCATGCAGATTGAGACCATCATAGGAAATTATCTCCATTTAATCGAATAGTAGTTATTTGGATTGAATAAGATTCGAAGAAACCAAGGTTAGAGTTTTTTTTTGAATGGTCGAAGTCGATGACGAAGGATTAATGGTTGTGGAGTCGGATTCAATTTCAAACATTGTGGAGTTATGGCTACCGATTTACGGCTAGGTTGGATGAAGAGGTCGTGTATAGGTTAAATGGCTAGGGTTTTTTTAGGTTTGCTCTAATACCGTGTAGAAAAATATGGAATACGAGAATAATAGTTATATTTGTTGTTACCGATACAAAGAGTTACAACCTACATATATAGTAAATAGACTAACCTATTTAGGAAGTATTAGTCGTATAAAAAGATAGAATTTCCTAACTTAGATAACATACAAACTTTCTATATTTACACCATAAATTACTTTATTCTTAATTATTTTCTTTCAACAATTTTTAAGAGACACAACAGGACACAAGGCATCAAGTCAAAAGAGAGAAATAGTTTCTTCTAAAAACCCTAGCACACGCCACCTTCTCTCTCTCCATGGGTTGTCACAAAATTATCCTGATTAGATTTCTATAGGAAGCACTAAAAAAAAAAAAATAGAAAAGGTGAAGCTAGCACTTTATCAATTTTGAGTGCTTCTTTGTAGGCGCTTGGATTGCGTAGATTATCAATAGAGGTCGAACACTTGGACGACTTTTCCGTAGAGGTTTAAATCTATGCCACAAGAGGTAATTCTTTATTTAAAGCTTTAATTCATGAATATATGATTAGTTGATTCAATGATATGATCTTGGACCCTTTAGATAGAGAAAATTTTTGTTTTATTTCGCACCTCTATAGAATACATGATCTTTTAGTGACACCCTCTATAGTTGGTGTTAGAACCTCTATGATCGATGGAACCTCTACGAGTAAGAGAGCCTTTGTGGCTAGAGCCACACTAGATGTGTTGGGTCTATGGGAGGTGAAAGAAGGACATCCCAAGCCATATGAGCTGCGGGACTCACGTATAGTGCTTGAAGTTGGAGATCTTTAATCGATGCTCATAGGGGATCTTTATGGGCTATAATCAGCTAGAGATGCACATCCCGAAGGATCATATATCCTATGGAGATACGAAATAAATAAAAATTTTTCTCTATCTAAGGACGTAAGATCAAGCCGTTGAATCTATTAACCATACATGTATGAATTTAAAATAACAAATAAAGGATTACCTCTTGTAGTGTGGATTCAAATTCTTCTATAAAAAAAGTCATCGAATTATCCGACCTCTATTAATGATCCACGCAGTCCAAGTATCCATCAAGAAGCACTCAAAATCGATAAGGTGCTAGCTCTACCTTGTTCTAATTTATGTAGTATTTCCTATAAAATCAATTCTGGATAATTTTGTAACAATCTTAAAAGAGAAGGAAGGAATGTACTTGTGCTACGGTTTTTGAAGAAAACTATTTTCCCCTTTTTTCTTTATTTTTTTGTGTGCTCTAGTTAGTTTTTAGGGCTAGCCAAAATTTTCCTTTTTCTCTCTCTTTTTGCTTAGTTATCGCATCTCTCTCTCTCTCTCTCTCTCTCTTATATTTATAGGAGAGTTTCCTTGTACTCTAAGGACAAAGAGAGGGGCAACATTAAGTCCCCATTAGGACTTTAGATTATTATTTCCTTATCCTCTAAGGATGAGGAGTTATTTATACATGTCTCCATTAGATTTCTAGTGCACCCAACAAATCGTCCACATGCAACCTTTTAACGGGTCCATCAAAACGAGTGTCAAAGTGTATAAGTCCTCTAATGAGACAACCATAATGACTTTCGGTCTAAGGATCATTTGTACTCATCTTATATGAGATTCCTATACATTAAAACCAAATGAGTTCTCATGGCGAGTCAAGTCTAGTGATATGTTGTCTAACATAAATCACCTAAGTGTTTGCTTTGGCATCCCTATGCCAATAGGTGTGAGATCTCCTACTTGTTATCATATAGGATGAGCATAGCACTCACAAGTCTATCCGCATATAGTCAATGCCCATTCTTGACAATGTTATGACTTAAGACATTTAATGATATCATTTATATACATTAGTGTTTGTCTCACGTCTTTCGATCAATCACTATTGCAAATGCATATCATAAGGACTTCTATCTAATTCTATTGAATTTACAAACATAAAACACAAGAATTAATAGAATGACTTCTTTATTATTATTAAAATAAATAATGCAATAATATATTAACTCAAGCCTCTTTAAACATGGCTGGATCTTGGGCACCTACACTAATATATCCACGACAATTGGAATGTGATCCTATAGTGATTGTGGATGGTCGGCCAAAAACCACGTGTCATAATTGAATAATATAACCTAAGACAATTAAACAAATTCAACAAATATATTATCACAATTAACCATTAAAAAAATCCAAAATTTTTATAGAGTCTTCCTTATAAATTGGACATTTCTTAGTTACTTGATAAGCAAGCCGCTTAAAATACAATACAATCAAAATACATAATCAATATTTTTAAAATGTATCAAAGTCAATATGATATACTTTATGTAACAAATAAAAAAATATATCATTTGTTATTAACACAATAAATAAAAAATATATTTAATTACAACCATTGTAATCACTGTTTAAGTTATCATCTATATTATTTGACATATTTGCACACTCAATCTCATCATCTTCGTTAGCCACGACTACTTCTATATCCGCAAATGATCCATTTGGATCATTCAATAAACTAACATCCTCGACTTCCTCTATCAAATTGCATTGGATTTTTAGATTGTCCCGCTGAAATTGTTCGAGCATTTTGTTAGACTGCAATGGATGATTCGGATAAGTCAAACTTGCCTCCGGATCTCTCTATCTAAATCATGATTGGGTTTTAGCTCGGGTCCGGAGATTTTTTAGGTTTCCTTATGGTGTGCGCAACAATTTAAAGTAAATATCCAACCTAGTTTAAAATTAAATATGTATGTGAATGCAAAAAAAATAAAAAAATAAAAAAAATCTCATAAAGTTAAATATTTTTTATAAAAATATTTTTTAATATTTTTGTTTGGTTATCTTTAATGTAATTTATTCTTTTACCTAAATTCCTTTAATACTAATTCAAATTAACACTAATTAATCAATATTAACATACTTATTTATTTAACATATAATTAATCAAATTAACCTAATAAAAAATAACCTTACACAATTAGCACTAATTCAAATTAATTAATTAAATTAATAAATTCAAATTAACGGAATTAATTTAAACCTAATTTAAATAAACCTAATTAATCAACTAACAACTAATTTAAATTAACCCTAATTAACTCTAAATTTAATTCAAATTAACATAATACAATTCACCATGATAAATTTAACTTAAGTAATCAACTAAGAACTATTTTAAATTAACCCTAATTTAACCATATTTAATCCAAATTTAAATTTAATATAACTTAAAAAATTCACATTAATAAACCCATAACTGATTTATATTAAATCCAATTGAAAATGAGTCTAAATGAATCTAATTAATTTAATAATAAATTCAGCTAAACCTAATAAAATTAACCATATTTAAATTAACCGTAATTCTAGTCCAATTAAATTTTAAATATCAATCAATTAACCAATTGGGCTATAATTAATATTAAAAACCAACCAATCAATAAAAGTAACCCTAATTAATTTAACCCCTAATGAAATTAACTTACTTAAATTAATCCTAGCTAATTACATTAATCTTAATTCATGCGTTAAATAAATTTTTAAACAAAAAACTAACAAATTAACAAAATTAACATAACAACTAACAAAAAAATAAAAATAAAACAAAATAAAAAAATAACAAATTAATTGACAAATTTTTAACCTAACAATTAATCAACTAATTTATCTAAATTACCCTTACAATTACATAAAATTTAACCTAACACTAACAATGAACAAAATTAAACTAACAACTAACAACTAATAAAAACAAAATTTTTATTAAAAAAATTAATCTAAGTAACAAAAAAACTAAAAGAGGGAGAACTACCGAAGGAGAGGAGGGAGAAGAGGGAGAGGAGAGATTACCACATTAGTTTCAACGTGGTTTTCGAGAAGAGAGGGGTACCTCGTTGGAATGAGTGGCATGAAAAGGGAGTGAGGTGGCATGGGGTGGTGGTTGGGGTCGTTGGGGGTGGCGACAAGAGAGGAGCAAACGAAGAGGAGAGGGAAATGGGGAAATTTAGGGAAAAATAAAGGAGTTGGTAGTTTTAGGAATTTAGGATTAGCAATGGACATGATTCCGTCGCTAATCCATTGCTAATTAGAATTTTAAACAAGTGCTCATTTTTCTAAACTTTCATAAAATTTGAGAAAATAGCGACGGAATACATTTCGTTGCTAATTAGCAATGAAATAGATAATGTATCTATGGATATAATCCTCGCCGATCCAATGATGGTTTTTAATGACAAAAATGATATTTCGTTGCTAAATTCCTTCACTATATGTCGTAATTTCGTCGCTGAATGCGTTTTAGCGACAAAATTGTTTCCGTTGTAGGTTTATTGTAAATTATTGTATTTTGAATTTTGTTGCCATTGGATTGGTATTGAGTAGCTAATTCATGATAAGCTTCAAAGACAGGGTGCTAAAATGTATAAATGAAGAAATGAATACTTTCTTTGGCTTATTAGAGCGCTCTGGTACGTGGGCTTGGCAGGAGATTTTCCTAAGTCCCTCACAGGTGGTTGGATTTCCAAAGAGTTTACCAATACTTATAAAAAAAAAAAAAGAGTTAAATTGCATGAGGAAAAAAAATTATTAAACTGAAAATAAGTAAAGAAAAAAATAAATAAAGTTGTAAAATAAACATCAAAGAAAACATGTAAATGCTCAAGAGTGTTGACTTGAGTGTAAGGAGCTCTAGTCGCTTAAGTAAGTGGTTTCGAGTTCGAATCCTTATGTATGCAAACAACTCTCTTTATAGCTTTTTTCGTCTTGTGTATCGTACATAACAACGAAAGATTAATTTGGGTCTTTGGGGTTGGAATACCTTGAAGGATGCAAAAAAATAAAAAATAAAAAAATTTAATAATCGGGAAGAAAGCATGTAAATAACACGATAAATAAAGCATTAAGTTAAAGTATAATGGTGAAAATAAACTAATAGAAAGTAAATTGAGAAAGATAAATTGCAAGAGATAAATTGTAGAAAAAAGCTTGAGAAAGCTTGTATTAAAATTGTGTCACGGGCCGTCCAAAGAAAATACTATGAGATAACTTCTTTTCAAATACTATTTTAAGACATATAAACTTACTTGTGCTACAAGGAAGCAACTAAAATTGATTTAGGAGTATATTACTAACTACAAAAAATATTAATTAAGATAAAGATTAATCTTCAAATTAAATAAGAAAACAAATAATTTAGAGAAATTTGGAATCCTCTACAAATACAGAACAGAAAATTCTAGAAACAAAGAGTACGTAGAATCTGGAGAATAATTTTGATTGTAGAATCTTCATAGTCTAGATGGGTAGTATTACTATTGACCGTGCCAACTGTCCGTAATTCATTAGACAATCAATACACAGGTGTCATTTTGTTTAAAATATTTATTTTGAGCATCAATATATGGTACATAAACAAATTACATGGTAGAAGTTAACAAGAGTTAAATCACAAGTTTGATTAACAGAAATCTTAAGACATGACAAGAGAATTTGATTCCCTTGGATGCTGCTTTTGCCTTTTTGCTTTATTTTATTGAATGGAAGTCCTGCTGTTCCCTATAAAACCTTCCATAATCACTGCAATCGCCTCGTCCCTTTATTTTCACTCACTCACACACTCGCGCACAAAGAGGTTTTCAATACTTCTGTGGTTTTTCTTCTTAGTGGAATATAAAAATGCAATGCTTAAATTTTTTTTCATTTTCGCATTTATCATTCTCGTTTTAAGATCAACGGAGAAAAGCAAAAAAAACAAAATCAATGATGTGTAGAAGTTGGGTTGCTTTTGCTCTAGTTTCTTTTGTTCTCCTCAGTGGGTTCTCTTCGGTCTCAGCCACATCTCCTGCGAGTAAGTTTAGCAATTTTTTTTTTCCCGGTCCTCTTTCCTTTTCTTTTCTTCGACTTTCAACTTCAATGATCCCCATCTCGAATATGCAGATATTTTAGGTGCCTTTGTTTCCAATGTGGTATCAGCACTTGTGAAGTGGCTCTGGTCACTTAAATCCAACACTAATATGCGTACAGGCCTTTCTTTGAACTCACATTTTGCTATAACATCCTGATTTTGCTGTTCTTCGCAATTCTTAGGCTAATGTTGTTGGAATTTCAGCTGTTTCTAGCCGTTCAAAGATAAAATTCGAGGGTGGATATACAGTGGAGACAGTGTTTGATGGAAGCAAGCTTGGGATTGAACCATTCTCCGTTGAGGTGTCTCCGAGTGGAGACCTCTTGCTTTTGGATTCAGAGAATAGTAACATTTACAAGATCTCAACACAACTCTCTAAATGTAAGTTTTCACTACTGGATTGTGCTTCGTTGTAGTTTTGAGTCATGTGATAATGTTTTATGCAATATTGTGGATTTGATAAACAATGCCTAAAAGTTAATGGCAGTTAGCTTCACTGTTGGGACATCTACCGACTCTTTATCTTTTTAATACATGTTATCAAAATGGAAAAAGGAAAAAAAAATTATTACAGTTGTGCTTTACATACTTTTGTCAAGTACACGTCTCCACTTTTTAAAGTACGTAAATCCTTTCACTACTGTTTCTGTCAACCCAATGCCTTCTTTTCGGAGATTTGCACTCTCACGGTTCCATCGCTAATGTCTACATTGCCTAGTCTTGTTCACACCATACCCTTTTTTTTTTTTTTTTTCTTTTCTAATCCACAATTCTTTTTCTTTTTCGTTTTCTTTTGTTCAACTCCAAAATTGATAGTAAATCAAGTTTCTATGAGAAGCTTGATGCCCTTGTTTAATTTGAATAGTTCAATCCCAATTCTGCGCGCGTTTGTTTTTCCTTGTTTATAGATTCTTTATACTAAATCATATGTTGATCCGACGCAACTTCATGTCTATATTTTATATATATGCAAACAAGATACATTCGGTTGATTTTTTTTTCTCTAGTTTCAGCTGAGAAATTGTTGGATTGGTATTGTCTTGTTATTTTTTTATTGTTTAGAAGGATAGTAGTTGAATCGTTTGGTAGAATCTATCATTGTTTCGTACACTGAGAGATTCAGGCAACGCAGATAACAGGCCCAAGCTTATCGCTGGGTCACCTGAAGGGTTCTCTGGACATGTAGATGGGAGATTAAGAGAAGCAAGAATGAATCATCCGAAAGGTCTTACGGTGGATGAAAGAGGGAACATTTACATTGCAGATACTATGAACATGGCTATCAGGAAAATTAGTGATGGAGGTAAGTGTAATTCCTTTTTTCCTTCCTTTTTTTGCTTTGGCCGTAACAGCTGTGAGGAACCAAGTCATCTCATCCTTTTTTTTTTTTTTCCTTCATATTTTATTGGCTATTCTAACAACATTGGCTGATTAAATTAGTATTTATATGAAGGAGTTACAACCATTGCTGGAGGCAAGTGGGCTCGAGGAGGCGGTCACATTGATGGTCCGAGTGAGGATGCTAAGTTCTCAAATGACTTCGATGTGGTTTACATTGGAAGTAGTTGTTCTCTCTTGGTTATAGATAGAGGCAGCCAAGCAATACGAGAGATCTATCTCCGCGACGATGATTGTAACCATCAACATGATGGTAGTTTCCATTTAGGTATAACCTAACAGCAAACATTTATATAAATTGATTAATTTCCTCAACGTTACTTTGTTGCAATCATAGAGATTTATAAAGCGTATTCATCATTGCAGGATTAGCTGTGCTTGTTGCTGCTGGGTTCTTTGGCTATATGCTAGCATTGCTGCAGCGTCGGGTGCAAGCATTGTTTTCTTCTACGCGTGATGTACCCCAGGTTTAATTACATCTTTCTTCATTTATCATTTGGCTAGGGATGGCTATCCGCACCTCTACTCCGCCATTTTGTCTTTAAAAATTATAATTTGACGAGGCTTCGTTTCGTTTAAAAGATTTTTTTTAGGCGGGTACCCACCCAATCGCCATCCTTACATTTGGCTAAATGTTTAGTGGAAATAAACTATTTTCCTTCAAATAATGTTGTTTTGTTTTTGTTTTTTTGTTTTTTTTTTAGGAATGCTCTTGTTTTTGTGTTGAATCAACAATTTCCCGCCTTATAATTGTATAACGATTTCTAACTCTTAAGTATCTTCATGGTCTAACTAATGCATTTTGGACGTCAACAATAATTTTGCCTTGTTTTGTTTAAACTAATTTTAAATGCCAATAAACGTACCTGGTGATCCTAACATAGACGCTTTCTCCAACTTGAATGTCTTTCCAAAATGAGTAATAATAGTGCAATTAAGACTATCTGAATTCTTTATTCTCTTTAATTTGCTAGCACTATTTTTACGGGCACAATTATCACTAATATTGTGCTTTCATTTCTAGGAATTAAGAACTCAAACAAAGAAAGGCATACAAATGGCCCCGTATCAAAGTCCTGGTAAGTCAGTCAGGCGTCACTTGATTCCAAATGAAGATGAACCTGCGAAACCAGACGAGGGGTTTTTTGGTTCACTTGGGAGGCTTATCCTCAACACTAGCTCAACAGTAGGTGAAATATTTGGGGGAATAATTTCAGGATTTAGAAGGAAACCCTTACACTATCAGCTCCAGCAGCACTGCCAGCAACCACTCAAACACTCTGACAGGTGGCCCGTTCAAGATAGCTTTGTGATTCCTGATGAAGATGAGCTACCGCCAATCGAAACCAGAAGTCCGATACCCCAGAAAACCCATCCATTTATGACCAATGACAAGGAGCACAATCACCATTTGAAGCAAAACCGGGGTTACTATGGCAGTTGGGAAGGGGGTTATAACCAACAGCAACAGCAGCAGATGCAGATGCAGCACCCTCAGCAGATGCATCTCCAGCGTTACAAGAATCAGCAGCAGCAGCAGCATCATAGGAATTATATATCCAACCCAAAGACATACTATGAGAAGAGCTGCGAGACAAATGAGATTGTGTTTGGGGCTGTTCAAGAGCAGAATGGTTGGCAAGAAGCTGTGGTGATTAAGGCTGTTGACTATGGTGACTCCAGGTATAATCAACATAATATTCGACCTCGATTCAACTATGTTGATTATCCTGATGGCCATTAATAATCTATCTCGTCACAAGAGTGGCAAGCAAATATTATTTTGAGATTCGCATGCGAGATTTTGAAGATGATTATGAATAGTTGATTGAAAAACTAAGAATCTTTTACTGTTTTTCTTTGATACTTTTTTTTTTGTTGATCTATCAAGGGGAAATAAATTCTCCAATGTTTTTCATTTACCTATATATATACACACACACGTAGTAATTAATTTATCTTCTAATATCAACAGAATTTAATGACTCTTGACATCATAGCTAGTCTAGTTGGCTTGCATTCGGCAGCGTGAAAAGTAAATCTGAGGTTTGTATAGAGTGACTAAAAGAAAACCAAATTTAGATTGATGAAGTAACTTTTGGTGATCGGAAGCATGAACTAAACTTCGCTAGTTGAGAATAGTGCCCCACTCTCGTTCGTAGCAAAAACAGTACAGATGTTAGTTTCAAGCCTATCCTCAACTGCAGCCTGCTATGGAGATGATGCACTTTTAACAACGTATGGACATGACTGGGACGCTTAAAAAGAGGATTATGAGAATCGCATATTATTTCATTGATGATATATATATACACACACACCTACTATATATGTTATAATCAAGACATAATCATAATCTCTTCTAATCAAGGCATAATCTCCTATAAATAATATTGAGGCATAAACGGGTATCTCTTTAATGCCCCCTCAGGATGGAGCTATGCAAGGAGAGTACAATCTTGTCCTATAGAGACAGAAATCTTGTGTCGATAGTGGTTTGGTGAGGGCATTCACTAGTTGATTAGCTGAGGAGACATATGCAACACGAAGAGCCCTAGTTTGAACTTGATCGAAATGAAGTAAAAATTTATAACGGCATACTCTATGCGAGAGTGAAAAAAGTTGGAGCACAATTGTGCAGCTCTAATATTGTCATAGTGGATCATGAAAGACTAAGACAACTGAACATGGAGTTTACTGAGTAGAGAACACATCCAAATGAGTTCAGGGGCAGTGGCAGCAATAGACTTATATTCAACCTAAACAGAAGAGCGAGCTATAGTACGCTACTTCTTTGAAATTCATGAAATGAGATTGCGACCAAGATAAATAATAAAAGTACTAGTAGAGGAGAATTCATCTTTGTTACCAGCCCAATCCACATCCGAAAAGGCATGGAGTGATAGTAGAAAGTTATGGTAGAGAGTAATGCCATAATCAGAAGTAACACATAAATAGCGGAGGAGATGCTTCACAATAGACTAGTAGTCAAGGGTTGTACAATGCATGTGTTGGACAACTTGTTTATTGCAAAGGAAATATCTAGTCATTGTTAGTATTGGTACCCAAGATCCAATCATGTTTGGATGTGCCCAAATTAATGTATTATTACATCATTTAATAAAGAAGTCATTTTACTAACTCTTATGTTTACATGTTGATAAATTCATCAAAGTTAGATAGAAGTCCTTATGATATACATTTACAATAGTGATTGATTCAAAGATGTGAGATAAACACTAATGCACATAAATGATATCATTAAATGTCCCAAGTCGTAGCATTGTCGAGAATGGACATGGACAATATGCGGATAGACTTGTGAGTGCTATGCTCATACTATATGATAGCAATAGGAGATCTCACACCTATTGGCATGATGATGCCAAAACAAGTGTTTAGGTGATTTATATCGGAGAACATATCATCTGGACTTGACTCGTCATGAGAACCCATTTGGTTTTAGCCTATGGGAATCTCATACGAGATGAGTACAAATGGTCCTTAGACTTGAATTCATCACTCGTTATCTCATTGGAGGACTTATGCACTTTGACACTCGTTTCGATGGACCCATTAATGGATTGCACGTGGACGATTCGTTGGGTGTACTAGGAATCCAATGGAGATAGGTATATGACCAAGATAGGACATGTCATTCCTTATATGCTAAAAGAGTTATCACATTGCACTTCGATAAATGTGTGCTCAAGAAATCTATGGCCACGGTAGGAGTACACTAATAAAGCATAGTTGGTTTACTCTAAGAGCTAAGAAATTTGAAAATCGAAAAAAACTTGTGTGATCATAATCGAATAAGACTAATAACTAAGTTCGAGATCACACTTGTGATAAGTTGACATGAGGATTGAATTGTATGGTAACCATACTCGTGAAAGGTAATAATGAATTAATTAATCCTTCTAGAGAATTGGGCGGTCATGATGCCTTGCTAGAGGCCAATCTTGATTTATGTATTAAGAGATAAAGATGAGTCTTTTATTCTTGATACGTTGTCAACATATCTAAGAGCCTATTGAGTCATGCACATAAGTTTAAGTATTTATATTACAAATGAGAAGCAAAGATATTGAAAAAAGTTTTCAATTATAAAAGTTTCCTATTTCCAAAATGGAAAGTTTCTTATTTTAGAAATCGATTTTCTAATTTGGAAGGTAGTTTCAAATTTGGAAATAAAGAACCCGAAAGGAAAGGAGTTTCCTAATTTAGGTTAAAGGGTATTTTTGAAAATTGTTTCCTAATGTGAACCCCACTAAAATAATCTAAGAATATTTATTTGGATAATCCAAATAAATTAATTGGGCTAAAATAGTTTTGGCCCATTAGATTTAATTAAGAAGCTTAAAGATAATTTTGGTGAGAGGATAAACATCAACCTTATTGGATAAGGATGAATGTTTTAAAGATAAACATTAACCTTATTAGATAAGGTTCAATGTTTTAAAAGATAATAATCAAGTAGTCCACATATTAAATAAATCCTCATCCTTGGAGGATAAGGAAGCAATAACCTAGAATTCTTTATGAACTCAAAGCCACTACTCTCCTTATCTATGGAGGACAAGGAAACTCTCCCCCTATAAATAGGAGGAAAGGTGCGACATAAAGGTGTGGTCATAAATAGTGTATTTTTGCCAAGAAAAATTATGAGACAAGATTTGACCAAATAAAGCAAAAAAAAAAAAAAAAACTCTTTCCTCCTCCTTTAAGGTTGTCGCAAAATTGTCCGAGATTGATTTCTAGAGAAAATACTTAATCGGAAAAGGTGGAGGTAGCACCCCATTAATTTTGAGTGCTTCTTAGTGGATACTTGGGCTACATGGATCATCGATAGAGGTCGGACACTTGAATGGCTAATCAAAGAAAAGAAATTTAGATTTATGCTACAAGAGTTAATACTTTACTTTAGCTTATTATTCATGTATGTATGATTAGTAGATTCAACGACATGATCTTGGGCCTTTAGATGAAGGAAAATTTTTATTTATTCCGCATCTCCATAGGATGCATGATCCTTCGATCGGATATGGAGAAGTACTTTAAGCTACCTACAATGGCTATATAGTTGGTAGGATTAATGAGGGCGAAGCCATAATGTAATGTAAGTGGTGGATCAGTAGGAAGAGAAGTGAGTATTAATTTGATATCCGTCGTGTGGGTATGAGCAACAAGATGTAGAATCTATCGACATTAGGAAAGAAAGATATCATATATTTAGGAAATTACCTCCACACCAAGAAAATAAGTAAGTAGGCTAAGATCCTTGTTATTATCTAATTTTTTTTACCTTTTTTTATAATTTTTTCCTAAAAATAAGAATATCAAAATTAAATATGCTTTGATTAATTCCCTTTATTGAGCAACTTTGTTACCATTAAGTTAGGACTTTTTAGGAATCTCATAATTTTGTGAGCTTAAAAGAATTAACAAAATCACAAAAAAGGAAAAATAAACTAGAAGAAAGAAAAAAAAGATAAATGAAAATTAGAATTTGGTGATCAATTAAAAATATATGGGAAATTGGAATCAAGAAAAATCGATTGGGAATTATAAATGAAAAATGTTTAAATTGGAAGTGGGTTGAAGAGAAAATGAAAAGATGGAATGAGAAATTATGAAAAATGAAAATAAAAGGGTAATTTATGTTTTTTTTTTCAATACCCTATTAACCCCTAGTATAAAAGCTCTCTTTCTCTTTGGCTAAGAGAAGGTCATTCATTTCTTTCATGAAAAGAAACCTACACAAAACACTCTCTCTAAAAAACACCTCAAAACGTTCATAGTTACCACCATTCATGCTCCACACTTATTTTCTCTAGAGAAGAATCATTTTTCAGTTAAGGACACGTTGCCTACCCTAAAATAAGAGAGACAACCACACGAGTCCCTAAGGAAACTCGAACTCGTTAGATCATCCAAACTCGTTAGACCCAATTGTAGGTTTCCTCTCAAACCAACCATTTGCTTATCATATTGAAGGCCAAAACTCCATAAAAACTTACACCACCATCTCAGCGAACCCTTCCCTATCATCAATGACAATGAAGAATGGTAGAAAGAGAAGAAAAATCTCGCCAAAGTTTGCTCGAGTGACCTATGACTCATACCGAATTTCATCCCTATTCTCTAGCCAAAATGGATAGTCTAATGACCAAAATAAAGCATAAGAAAGTCCTAAAAGACATATTTGGCTTAGTTTTGAGTTCAAAATCAACCACTATCACCGAATTCAAAGCTAAAAGAGAAGAGGGAGAAAGTTGAATTTTCATCGATACCAATCTCCTTCTATGTGCAAGGGTGACCAACACAGCCATTACCAACGAAGAGAAGGTTGAGATCAATCGTACCCTACCTTTCACTCACTTAATCGTGAATAAAAGCATAAATAGTGGTAGCTGGAAGATTTAGGTTTGTTGAGGGGAAATTCTACCATTTTCATGACTCGAAGGCTTTTTTGTCATTTTACAATAGACTAAGGACATTTTGGTCATTTCATAACAATCTACTTATTTTTTACAATAAACAATTGTTTCTTCTTTTTGATTAATTGAAATTACATCATTTTTCATCAAGGTTGGAGAAATCATAACCGACCCCTAAAGGACACCCTAACAATGTCGATTTTCATCAAACTTTCCCTTTCCGATTGACAATAAGTGGTCCAAAAAGTAAAAAAGGAATTATGATTGAAGTGTTAATCTCCTCTCTTTGGTTGAAAATATT